ATACATGTCGCTTTATGGTTAAAGATTTTTTTACGGGGGTTACAATTCTCTCCCCTTAAAAGAAATTTTGTCCACGAATTTGGTTTATTTGAATAACTTTGGGTATTTATCGATCATTTCCTCCTCCTCGCTCCTAAGTCATTTCTTCGAGGTCATGATTTTCCCACAACACTTTAACTAGACTAATCTCCTTATTCCTTAGTTGTCTAACTCCGTCTATCCAAAATCCGAATCAATTTTTCCTAATAGGTCAAGTCCGGGTTAGGTTTGGCGGTTCTATCTTCAAAATTTCAATCAGCTCTCCAATAAAGTTCCTTAGCATGGACACATGAAGTACATTATGTACTCCCGCTAATTATGACGAGTAATAATACGCGATAGACCTTATCGCCTACTCGATCCAGATATTTCAAATGGTCCTATATATCACGGACTTAACTACCTCTTTTTCCCAAATCGTAGTACACCCTTCATTGGTGAAAATTTTAAGAAGACATAGTCACCTACTATAAACTCTAGATCCTTCCTCCTCTTATCGGCGTAGCTTTTCTATCTACTTTGAGTTGTTTTCATCCGTTGGTGTATCTTTTCCACCATTTCAATCGTTTGTCGCACCGGCTCCAATGCCAACAACTTCCTTTCCCCTATCTCATCCCAATGCATAGGAGATCTACATTGCTGACCATACAAGGCTTCATGAGGAGCCATCCTAATTGAAGCTTACTAACTATTGTTATATGCAAATTTAGCTAAGCGTACGTATTTCTCTCATTTTTTGAACCAATCCGAACGCATGCTCGTAACATATCTTTAAGAATCTAGATTACTCGCTTACATTGTCCATCGGTTTATGGATGATATGCGATGCCGAAGTTTAGCTTTGTTCCTATGGTCTTGTGCGGACTCTTCTAAAATGGAGATGTGAACCTAGGATCTCGATCCGACACAATTGAGATCAAAATCCCATGTAGTCTTACAATTTTGTCAAGATACAACTAAGCGTACTTGGTTTAGATTATAGGTGGTTTTGGTCAAAAGAAAGTACGTTGATTTGATCAATCTATCTATGATCACCCAAATGGAATCCGACCCCTTTTTCGATCTTGGCAATCCATGACGAAATCCATGCTCCTATTTTCATTCGAGAATCACCGGTAATTTTAACATTCTTGTGGGTCTTTGGTGTTTCCCCTTCACTCGTTGATATACTTGACACCTTGCCACAAAATTAGCTACATCTTTCTTTATTCTAGGCCTCCAATAACTTTATCCCGTGTCCTGGTACATCTTTGTTCTCCCCGAGTGTATCGAATAGGGAGTTGTCTATGCTTCTTTCAATATTTCTTCCTTCACATCCTCCATCGATGGAACACACAACCTCCTTTTAAATCTAGTGATGCCTTTGTCATCCATCATAAAATTGGATTCCTTCTCCACCTCTACGTTCTTCATTTAGTCATTCGACTTTTCGTCCGCTTACTACCCCATCTAAATTCTTTCATATAGAGTCAATTAGACTAATAAAGCCAATAAAATGCTCGGTGGCATACTCGGAATTATCTTCAATTTTAGCTTTCATAGATCTCTCATTATTGATAGCTGGAGGAGTGCTCACATTGTTGCTATTGATTTTCTACTTAAGGCATCGATAACAACATTAGCTTTGCTCGGGTGATAATTGATTATACAATCATAGTCCTTTGCTAGCTCTAACCACCTTCTTTGACTCATGTTTAGCTCCTTCGCATGAAGATATATCGTAAGCTTTTATGATTTGTATATATCTCACACTTTGATCCATACAAGTAATGTCTATAGATTTTTAAGGTAAAAACTACCATTGGTAGTTTCGGATCATACGTCGGATAATTTCATTCATATTCCGTCACTTGCCTTGATGCATAAGCAACTACCTTCCCATTCTCCATCAACATCACTCCTAGCCCATTCTTGAAAGCATCACTCGTAAACCATAAAATCTCCATCTTCGAACGGAATAGTTAGCATTGGGGCCGTGACTAAACTTCGCTTCAATTCTTGGAAGGTTTTCTCATAGGCATCCGTCTATTGAAACTTAACACTCTTTTTCATCAATTTAGTAAGAGGCCTAGTGATCTTAGAGAAGCCCTCCATAAATCTCTCGATAGTAACCAACTAGCCCTAGCAAGCTTCATACCTTTGTCACGTTCTTTAGGGTAGGCCAGTTCTAGATAGCCTCTATCTTCTTTGGATCCACTCGCTATGCCTTCCTTTGTCACCACATGACCTAGAAAAGCTACTCGCTCTAGCCAAAATTCACATTTCTTGAATTTGGCATATAGTTGTCTGCTCCCTTAGTGTTTGCAAGGTGGCTCTTAGATGCTTATTATGCTCTTCCTTACTTCGAGAGTAAACCGGGATATCATCGATGAATATGATGATAAACTTGTCTAAGAATTCTTTAAAGAGTCGATTCATCAAGTCCATGAAAGTGGATGGGGTGTTAGTCAATCCAAACAGACATTACTAGGAATTCATAGTGGCCGTATCCGGTAGTGAATGTCATCTTCTTCCTTCGATTTTACCTCGACTCGGTGGTATCCCGATTGCGGGTCTATCTTGGAGAACATCGTTGCACCTTGTAATTGATTAAACAAATCATCAATATAAGGTAATGGGTACTTGTTTCTAATCGTCACCTGGTTTAATTCTCAATAGTCAATGTATAGTCATAGACTATCGTACTTCTTTTTCATGAACAATACTAGAACTCCCCAAGGTGAGGAACTAGGGTGTGTAAATCCCTTATCTAGTAAGTCCTATAGCTACACCTTCAACTCTTTCCATTAAACTAGGGCCATTCTTTAGGGAGTCTTAGAAATTGGATTCGTGCTTGGCTCCAACTCAATCTCAAATTCTATCTCCCTCTCTAGTGGCAACGTAGTCAAATTTTCTAGAAATAAGTCTAGATAATCTCGCATTACTTCTATATCATCCGAATTCGACTTTCGCTCTACCCGGCTATCCACCACATGTGCTAGATACCTTATAGACCATTTTCCTAGCATTCTTTAAGCTTTTATGGCCAAGATGATCGGTATGGATCGAAACTTCATATCATCCTTAAAATCTAACGATTGATCTACAAGTAGATCAAAAACTACTCTCCTCCCTCGAAAATCGATGGTCAAACCATGCCTCATTAACCAATCCATTCCCAAAATCAAATCAAAATCTTGGAGTTTAATACGATCAAATCAGCCTCCAAACTCTTATCTTCAATCTGGACTAGACACTCGCTTGACTAGGCTCGTTGACTCCTTAAATTCTCCGGAAGGGACTACTATTAGGTATCTTATTACCAATGTCTTAGGTTTAACACCTAGGCTCTCTCACTCTCTCCCTCCCTCTCTTTCTCTCTTTATCTCCCTCTCTCCCTCTCCATCTCCTTCTCTTCCTCCCCTTTCATCCCTCTCTCACTCTCTCCCTCTCTTTCTTCTTCTCCCTATCCATTGCTCCCTCCCTCTCCCCTTTCCCTATCCCTCTCCCTCTTTCCTTCCCTCCCTCACTCCCTCACTCTCTCTCCCCCATCCTCTCTCTCTTTTTTTACCTCCCTCTTTTTCTCTCTCTCTCTGATTCCATCTCTATCTCCCCCTCTTCCTCTCTCCCTCTCTCCCTTCATCTTCCTCTCTCACTCTCTCCCTCCTTTTTCATCTCTCTCTCACTCTCTCCCTCCCTATCTTCCTCTCCCCATCCATTGCTCCCTCCCTCTCCCTCTCCCTCTCCCTCTCTCCCTCTTTCCCTCCCTCCCTCCCTCTCTCACTCTCTCTCCCCCATCCTCTCTCTCCCTCTTTACCTCCCTCTTTTTCTCCCTCTCTCCAATTCCATCTCTATCTCCCCCTCTTCCTCTCTCCCTCTCTTCCTTCCTCTTCCTCTATCCCTCTCTCTCTCCCACTCTTGCTCCTTCTCTCTCCCTCCCTTCCTCTTTCTTCATCCATCTCTCCCTCTCTATCTCCCTCTCTCACCCCTTCTATCTCTCTCTCTCCCCTTTCCTCTCTTTCTCTCTCTCATATCCTTATATCCTCTCCCTCTTCCTCTCCCTCTCTCCTTACCTCTCTCCCACTCTATCTTTACCTCTCTCCCTTTTCCCTCTCTCTCTATCTCTCTCTTCCTATCTCTCCTTCTCCCTCTCAATCTCTTCCTTTCTCTTTCCATGCTCGCTCCATCTCTCTCTCTCCATCTCTTTCTCCCTCCCTCATTCTCCCATTATCTTTCCCTCTCTCCTTCTCTCTCCCTCTATATCTCTCTCTTCTTTGCTCTCCCTCTCCCTCTCCCTCTCTTCCCTCTCTCCCTCTCCCTCTCTCTCCTATCTCCCCAACTCCCTCCCTAACCTAATGTCCCTCTCTCTTACTCCTCTCTCTCCCTCACACTCCTTCTATGTCCCTCTCTCTCGCTCGACCTTTCATAAGGTACCCTCTTATAGGTGAACATACCATAGGGACATGTGAATGTAGTCTTTTCTTGGTCTTTCGGGGCTATAGGAATCTAAAAAGAGCCTTGAAAGACCATCTAAGAAGCGATCATATATGTGTCCCGTTAGTCGCTCTAGCATCCGATCAACAAATGGGAGCAGAGAGTGGTCCTTCCGAGTGGCATCATTCAGCTTTCTATAGTCGATGCACACTCTCCACCTAGTGATCTGTTCTTGTTGGAATTAGCTCGTTCTTTTCATTCGGGACCACTATCATCCCTCCTTTCTTTGGACCAACTCGCACAAGGCTCACTTAAGAATTGTTAGAAATAGGGTATATCATTCTTGCATCAAGAAGTTTAATTACCTCACCGTTTACAACTTCCTTCATATTTGGATTAAGCCTCCTTTGATGTTGCACCACTAGCTTAAAATCATCCTCCATCAAAATTTTATGAGCGATAAAAAAGAGGCTAATTCCTCTAATGTCTAAAATTTTCCAAGCAATATCCCTCTTATGCTCTCTAAGAACATTTAATAGCTTTTCTTTTTAGTCCACCTTTAGCTTGGAAGAAATTATTATCGATAACTTTGAATCTTTTTTAAGAAATGCATACTCTAAGTGTTTCGATAAAGTTTTCAATTCCAAGTTAGGTGGGTCCTCAATGGAAGGTTTTAGTCTCTTTTCTTTAGCTCTGTCAATCTCTTTAAATTCCTTATTTTGAACCATAAACTCAATAGCCTCTAGACGAGCTACTTGATCAACTCTAATGGGATCATCTCCATCATCTTCCTCACCTTGAATAATACACATCTCTAATGGGTCATCATACATAATTTATTGCATAGATTCTGAAATTATAGTATCAACAAGCATCAATAAAATAACATTTTTCATCATGTTCAATGGAGTGTCTCATAGATTTAGATATAAGAAAAGTTACCTCTTCATCCTTGACCCTAAGAACAAGTTTACCATCACTAACATCAATAATGGCTCTATTAGTAGCCAAAAATGGTCATCCTAGGATTAAAGGTACTTCTACATCCTCATCCATGTCAAGAATAACAAAGTCAACTAGGAAAATAAATTTATCTACCTTAACCAACACGTCTTCGATTTTACCTCTAGTGGTATTTAATAGATCCGTCCGCTAATTGTAAGCTCATTCTTGTTGGTTTAGGTTCTCCCAACCCTAGTTTCTTAAACATTTTAGAAGGTATTAAGTTCATACTAGCCCTAAGATCGGCTAATGCCTTTTCAACTAACAAACTAACAAACGAGTAAGGGATAGTAAAACTCTCGGGTCTTGTAATTTTTTAGGTAGCTTGTTTTGCGGGATAGCAGAGCACACCTCACTCAATGGCACTATTGACGACTCTTCTAGCTTCCTCTTGTTTCAAAGAAGTTCTTTCAAAAATCTAACATACTTTTGCATCCGTGAAAGAGCCTCAACAAAAGGTATATTTATATGTAGTTGTTTAAAAAGTTAAAGAAATTTACCAAACTCGTTCATCCACGTAGTCCTTCTACAGACTTTGTAAGATATGAAATTGTAGGCTTGGACTCTTTCACTCGGTTGAGGTTGCTTGTTAACTTTTTCCTCGCTCTTTACCCTTTTCAACTATTTTCTCTTCCTTACCTTTCTTATCCTCCACCCTCAATTCCTTTCCATTTCTAAGAGAGTCGCCTTTACATGTTCTCCGGGATTAGTCTCGGTATTACCGTGCGTACTATCTTGTTGTCTCTCGAAAAGGACTTGGCAAGTTGCCTAATTTGTTTCTCAAGATTATGGATAAAAGCGTCTTGGTTTCTTAATGCTCGTTTCGAATGCTAGAAATGATATTCAAATGTTTGAATTAACTTAGTGATAAGCTCTTCTAAACTAGGTTTCTTTTCCCGAGATGAGTTTTTCTACTAGAATCCTAGTGGATGATTCCGTCTTTGCTATCCTTGACCTCCTCAAGAGAAATTAGGGTGATTTCTTTACCCAAGATTGTAAGCATTGCTTGTATGGGTTGTTCGAGAATGAGGAGCATTACCTATGTAATTAACTACCTCCTTGCAATCTTGGCTCATATGTCCTCCCCCACACAAGTCACACTACATAACTTGAACCAGCCTACTACACTAATAATAGACCATCAATCTTCTTACTCAAAGCCTCCACTCGAGCTACCGTAGCCGTAACTACATCTACATCATAAACACTCGCTGGTTTATTTAGTTTTGTTTTAGTTGTGCTCCATTGGTAATTTTTCATAGCCATTTGCTCTATCAATTCCCGAGCTATTTTAGGTGTTTTGTTATCCGGAGTGCCTCTAGTCGTTGCATCTATCATCTACCTAGTAGCTAGATTCATTCCACTATAAAAATCGAACTCGCATCTATGTAGGAAGGCCATGGTGTTGACATATCCTCCAAAAACCCTTAAACCGCTCCCAAGTGTCATAAAGTTTCTCCGATTCAATCTATGCAAATAAGGAAATATCATTCCTAAGTTTCACGAGTCTTTGCAGGTGGAAAGTATTTTGCTAGGAACTTCTCTACCATTTAGTTCCGGGTGGTGGTAGATCCCATAGGCAGAGAGTTTAACCACTGCTTAGCTCTACTCCTCAATGAGAATAGAAATAGTCTCATTCGATAGCATCATCCGTAGTCCCATTAATCTTGAATGTGCCACATATTTCCAAGAAGTTGGCCAAGTGAGCATTTGGGTCTTCATCCTACAACCCATCAAGCCGCATAAATTGTTACACCATTTGAATGATGTTTGGCTTGATCTCAAAATTATTGGCCACAACGAGTTGGTTAGACAATGCTAGACTCCGTTCTGTCAAGTTTGGTCTAGCACGATCAAGCATGGTTCTCTCTTCCTCGCCCATGACTAGGTACGGTTCTTCTTCCCTTTGATGTTCTTCATCTTTTTCCCTAACCAGACTTTTTTTCACTTTGTCTAAATTGATTTCTAAGGTTTTGAAGAGTTGTTCTTTCTATTTTAGGATCCGGCTCAACTAATTCGGTTGGGTTGTTGCAAGTCATCACTAACCGGGCTCCCGAAAAAGCAACATGAACAAAGAAGAACGTAATTCAAAGAAAATAAGATAAAAAATGAAACTAAATAAATATAACAAAAAAATAAAACAGCTAGATTAATAAAAATAAAATTTTCCTAATACCCTAGTTCCCCAGCAACTACACCCAAGACTTGATAAGCCATCTTCTAACCTCGTAGACTTTAGGCAAGTGCACCTATCATTCTCTAGTATAGTTGACGAGGTATCGAGTGTTGATCCCACGGAGACTACGAGTACTAGTAATCACCCTCTTTTTATTATCTAACCGATGAAGTATAGTGATAATGAACAATTAAAAAATAATAATAACTAAAGCGAGATCACAAAAATGCAACAAGAATAACGACAATAGCTAACCGAGCAATCAATGGTAAAGATAGTACCTAGATAGAGAATCCTCCTAAGACCTTCTATGTAATCACAATATCATTCATTCAATCATTCTTTATGTTCATCTAACCATAGGAATTCTTGAATTATGCTAAATACTCTCTCAAGTTAACTAACACCTAATCCCAAGTTGATTAATTGAAATCTCTTTCTAATTAATACCCTTAGGATTGCATTAATTCGTTTTGTGAATTCCCTTATTAGATTTGACTCTAATTTAAAAGATTTATGTCCTCCTATCTCTAGGATTGCATGCAACTCTTTTTAGTTATGGTTGATCTAATCATACTTAGGATTTTTCAATCTCACAAGTATGAAATCGGTATGAATCAACACGCTAGCATATGCTAATTCAATTAAACAATAAATGCAACATAACTAAATCACAACGAAAATAAAGATTGAATTGAATAAAGATATCAAATCATATAGTCAATCTTAAAGTTCATCATATCTAGGTACCAAAATAATCTAGTTCATAGTCAAATGAAGAACACATAAATCTTAAATAGAGAACAATAAAGATTTAAGAAAAAAATTTATAACCCCTTTAATCTTGATGCAATCTACTCAATAATCAATGGGAATCCACTCTAATGGAATTATCTTGCTCAAACCTAGCTCTTTTCAAGCCCCCGAGTCGTGTTTCGTCTCTCCAAGTCGTCCTCCCTTTGTCATGTTTTTGTATCTCCATAGGAGCAAAAATCACACGTTTCGTACGACATAGCCTAGTACACGATCGTCTCTCTACCCCGTGTAATGCAAAATTTTTTTTTACTCTTAGTCAAATAGTTACACGGCCTACTATACGGGTGTGCCTTTTCTTGTGTTCACCCAAGTCTCAAAATTCAGCTTTTTTTCAATTACGAGTGCCTATTACATGGGTGTGTCTTCATTTGTGTAATTCATTGGTCACTCGAAATTCATCAATTTTGCTCCATTCTTGCTAGGTTTCCATTCCTTTTCACCAAAATAATGTAAGACGACTTGAGAAACATAATTTAAGCAAGGTAAGTGCCAAAATTATACCATTTATCACCGAAGACAATTAAAATATAAGAAATTTGACACTAAAAATATGCATAAATGGGCACTTATCGGAGATAGAGTGATAAAGAGGGGAAGAGTGAGAGAGAGATACAAGGAGAGAGGGAAGGAGAGGGAGAGGGTGAGGGAGAGGGAGAGGGGGAGAGGAAAGAAGAGAGGGGAGAAAGGGAGAGAGAGGGAGAGGGAGAGGGAGAGGGAAAGATAGAAGGGAGAAAGAGGGAGGGAGAGGGAGGGAAGGGAAGAGGGAGATGGACATAAAGAGAGAGAAAGAGAAAGAGGGGGAGAGGGGGAGAGAGAAAGAGAAAGAGAGGGACATAGAAAGGGAGAGGGAGAGAGAGGGGTGAGGGAGAGCAAGAGGGAGAGAGGGAGATAGAGAGAGGTAAGAGGAGATTGAAAGAGGGAGAGAGGGGAAGATAGACAGACAGAGAGGGAAAGAGAGGGAGAAGCAAAAGTAGAGAGGGAGATAGAGTGGTAGAGAGAGGGAGGAGGACAAAGAGAGAGGAAGGGAGATGGAGTGGGAAACGTAAGAGACAGAGAAGGGGAGAGGAAGAGGGAGAGAAAGAGAGAAAGGGGAGATAGAGAGGGAGAGGGAGGGAGAGAGAGGGAGAGTGGGGTGAAGGATCATGAATCCTATAGAGGTGTGAAATAAAAAAAAAATTCCTCCATTCAAGGGCCTAAGAACAAGCCATTGAATGTACTAACCATACATGTATAAATTTAAAGCAATGAATAAAGATTTACCTCTTATAGCATAGATCTAAATCCTTTTTGTAGAAAAACTATCCAAGTGTCCAACCTCTATTGATAATCCCCGCTATCCAAGTACCTAAAAAGAAGAACTCAAAATTGATGGAGTGTTTCTTATAGAAATTTATTCTAAGCAATTTTGCAATAACCTTAAAGGAGGAGGAAAGAGTGTGACGTGCTAGGGTTTTGGAGAAAACTAATTTCTCCCTTTTTCTTTTTTAGCCATGTGCCCTAGTGGTTTTTTTATTCTAGTCGAAAAGTCTTTTTCTTGTCCTCACTCTCTTCGATATATTTATAGGAGAGTTTCCTTGTCCTCCAAGGATAAGGAGAGGGGTGAAAATGAATCCCTTAAGGACTCTAGGTTGTTGCTTCCTTATCCTCTAGGGATTAAGAGTTATTTTACATGTGAACTTTTTTTTATCTTTATCTTTAAAATATTCATAATTATCCAATAAGATTGATGCTTATCCTCCCATTAAAATATCTTAAGGCTTTTAATTAAAACCTAATCAGCCAAAACTATTCTAGCTTAATTA